TAATCTAATCTGCAGATAAGATAAGGGTTTATCCTTATCACCTAAAATGAGGGCTGATCCAAATATGATTTGGATAAGCAGCTCCTAATTGGATTTGGAGCTGATCTTTTAGGTTAACAAAAGAAGGAGGGGGCGGCAGCCTTTAGAAGAAAAAAATAATCAGATCCTCTTTAGAGCTAAAACTACAGAAGAAAGATTTCTGCAACCCCTGCAAAGATCTTTCTTGTCGTTTCCTTCCTACAGCCGCCAGATATCCAATTCGATCTCCAATTGTGGGAGAAGTCAAGATTCGATCTTGACATCAGTTTCTTTGAGAAAGAATTGATTGGAAGCTGTGCTCACGTACCATCCTTCTGTTTCTTGCAAAGGATAGAATTCTTGGAGAAGAATACTGCTGATTCTGCTTCATCCTGCACTAATTATTATTTAGAACTATTCTATATGATTTTCTTGATTTATGGGCTGTTCGTACAAGAGGAGATCGAAATCTTGATTTGCGCAGGGAACCTATGATTTTGCAGATTTTGGATTGTTTTATTACATTTGGTCTGTTAAATAATTTTTTTATTTTTAGACTGAATGTATAGGTATTCGATCTGATGTAATTATTAATAGAAATTAGGATTTCTATTTATTTTATTTTTGGATCGAAGATGGCGACACAGAAAAGGAGATTTCGCAGAGAAGGAGATTTCGCAGATGGGAGAATTACAATCTGCGATTTGCAGTTTATGAAACTACAAACTGTGATCTAACCTCTGTTTTACAAGATGGATTGTGCGAACAGCCCTGTTTGACTGATTCTTGATTTTTCTTTTATCAGTATTTAATTTTAGATTATTTTCTTGAATTAAAGATTTAATTAAAGATCAAACCCTAGACCYATTCGAACCAAGATTGGTTCAAATTATTTGGACCGAATCTAGGGTTTAATCAAGGCTGAAAGTCATCCCTAATTTTCCCACTAATGGGCCTGAGGCTTGATGTTTAATTAAATGGTTAATTCGGCTCAACCTGTAAAAGCCCAGTTTTAAATTGTTAAAACTGCTAAAAGCCCATTTAACACATAAAGCTATATGGGCTGAACCATTCGGCCCATATACCTAGATAATATTAATGGTTAATATTATGGATTTAAAATGGGCTTCAAATGGGCTTTACAGATAATTAATTGATTGGATCAATTTATCCTTGCATGTGATGTATGGATGTATGATGTGCTACGTACATGGGCCATAAGTGCTTGGCCCATTCTCCATCGACAGTGGCTCTTGCGCACACCATGGCTGAATGCACATCATTGYCATGGTGTCCCTTTTGGTCATTGGATGACCTCCCTCAATGGTGGGCCCCACACCTCATCACGAGGTTACGTGCGGAACCCTAGCCGTTTTAGGCCCACCAAAATCTGACTTTATGAAAGTCAGTGGGAGCCACTTTGGTTTGACCTAGATCAAACTAGGGCATAATTAATTGTTCCCTCCAGCTAATATGAGTGCATGTGATAGGAAGATTCATATGATGAACTCTCTAAAGGCCTTCTATCATTAGCATGAGGATGGGTCCTTCAGTAATGAGGAAACACACCAGAAAATGGGCTATCCATTTGCTGTTGGGTTTGTTTGAGTGTTTCATAAGATGATAGGGGCGTCATAGACCGATGCGGGAGGGGCTTCACCAGAAAATGGGAACTCTCTCACGGTACCTTGGCGTTCACGAATATGATGAGTAAGCACTCACTGGACAGAAATGTTTACCTAAAAATGGGCTTTAGAACCATTATGGTCCAGTGCTCAATTAGCCTTCCTAACTGCTGCCCAGTTGGGCTTCCTTGTATGGCGTGGGACCCAAGCATTGATCTACACATCAGCCACATGGGTTCAACCCAACCTTTGTTACAAAGCCTGGCCGAATACACTGTTATGGACAGTGCACCCCCTAAAACCCATCAAATGAGCTCTATGGGCCCAACACTTACCCTAAGTGGTCCCTGGGCAAGCCACCTTGTAACACCCAGGGACTGTGGGCAGATGCAAGATTAGCCCATCGGGTATTATCCTCAACGGTCTTACACTCAATCTCTCGGCCCATAATGATCATACACTGCCCGACAAGAGAGGACCTCTCCCTCGGCTGCAAGGAACAGTGTTGCACTCTCTACTTATATGAATCCTGGGATATAAAATCTTTTGCAAACATTTTAGAAACCATAATATATATATACTTTTATATCTCATATAAAATATATTTTGCAAGACAAATCTCAATGATTGAAATCGGCTGCCGGTAGTCTTGGTTTCCATCAGAGAGAGTGCATCCCCGATCATTACCTTTGTTCGACAAAGGGGCTGATCCTGTCACTATGATCACCCACTTAGATGAATTCTCAGACTGTCCCAACATACCCAGGTTTTGACCCCCACTAAAGATCTCACTGATTGGTACATCAAAGATAGCCCAATCCGACACCTAGTGCAGTATCATAATCGAGTCTAGGGGTCGGGTATAATTTTCCAGCTTTGCCCATCAATCTCCAAGGTCCAGGGCAATACTGGAAATCTGGTATGGTTCAAAGATTCAATTGATCCTACACTACATGTGCCTAGGGTCTCACCCCGGTAGCTGAAACATGCCACCCCAACCGACTTGGTGGCACATCAGTGTCAGCCTTATCATGATAGGTCTCCCCAAACCGACCCACTAGCTGTGAACATTCAAAACTAACACGAGTCTCATTAAGTGTCCAGTTTAAGGGTATTACACAGAAACATACCAAGGGAACATCAATCAAATATGTACTTTTATTCATTTACAATAAACTCATAAAGTACATCATTCTGATTGAAGAGTCATCCCCAAAGTCAGCTTAAGCAAAATTACGAGGAAGCGACTCCTGACTTGTGAAGAGTCAACCTCTAAGTAATACTTTGTTTTAAATTTAAAATCATTGCACCTACAATAAATACCCAATTTCTATATTAATTACTCTATGTTCAAATTGTTGAAACAACCTTATTAAATACTTTGACATTTGAGCATTGGTAGAGAGTCTAGATCTACACCTCACACTAGTAGAGAGTCTGCATCTACACCTCATACTAACCTCACAGCTTGTCCTAGCCACACATCGGGAACATCTTCCGTACTTGTGCGTTATTATTCGTGGAGATGTTACCAGTATAGGATGGGATGTGGTTGTGAGGTCGGTGAGAGGAGCACTCTTTGAGAACTAAATCCTAATTCAATGGTAGAATCTCATCGTTACACCAAAAAGCTGAATCAAATTCTCTTTTGGAGGAGTTCAAATTAGTCTCCACAAGATTGCGCCCCACAATTTCCCACAGCACATCCCCACCGTGTACGGGAAACACCTCCAGATGATGACATCATCATTTCCGGTACTATCATTGGGAGATGTTCCCAATACACGACGGGGATGTGTTATGGGACATTGTGGGGCGTAGTCTTGTGGGGGGCTGATTTGATCTCCTTTTAGAGCAGGTATTTTGAATGTTTTAGAAGTGTAAAAAACAACAATGAAGTAAAAGATTTTTCTTGAGCTTAAGTTTTCAAATTCAAAGAATAGGAAAATAAAAAAAAATCCACCAAAGAGGGTTTGAAGTTTGAGGGAAACAATGTCAAATTCATGAAAGGAAACTTGATGCCCTAATCTATAAATCTAAGTTGAATAGTTTGAATTATATTGTCATATTAGACCAAAAAGGATTATGTTGTGTGCTTCATTGTAAAATACAATTGATTATGAGACTGAAAGGAAGAGTGAAGGGTGTTTTTGGTGTTTGAGCAAGCACAGTGTCAACCCATAGGTTGAGGTGCAACCAACACTGACAAAACCGGTTATATATGAAAGGTGTAACTTGCACCAAAAAAACTAGTTAGGTTGAAAGTCGTGTGACTAGCATCGTAAAAAACAATATATTGGTTGTATGGCATTAGCAAGGATGTGGATATAGCTATATCTTGAATTAGATAGCTACTTGTTTCAATGCAATCCACCCCCATAAAATGTCAATCGTAGGAAAAATAGTTGCTAAGAATTGAATAGACTGAACTAAGTAATGGTTAAAAATGAATGACAAAATTAAAAAAAAAAAAGAAAACAATTTTAGATGCAGAAATCAACTTAAATTTAGTTGAGTAAATTATAACAAATTTCTAGTTTATCTTTACATTGTTTACATACTTGTTCTTATAGGCATTGAAACCAAGTGAAGGGAAACCTGCAAAGCCACAATCATCTCTCATTGTGGAGAACCATTAGAAGAGAGATCATTGAAGAACTTGGCCAATGCTCTAATTTTGTTCTTGAATAATATATAAGAGAGACTTATCAGTATACACAATGTTCAAATAATCAAAATTATCAAGAAAAACAACACTATGTCTTGTCAAGAAAATCTTACTTTGCAAGTGTAGTTCCTTGAGAAATGTGGCAACAATTGATAAGGTGTTTACCATAGAATACAATATTTCAACAATCTTAAAAAACAAAAGTAATAAAAATAAAGCATGATCATTTGTGATTGTCTCCATATAGTAATAACATTGTAGATTCAGTCATTAAGAAATTTTTTTATTGGGAAAATTCATGATTGTAAGTGGTGTGGAAAGGCTAAGCGTGGTGGTCCCCTTAATGGACAAAGAAAGACTAGGAGTCTCGGGTAATAGGAGTAGGTTGGGATCTTCTGTTGATAGAATTATGTGTTTGTTGTGGTTTGCACTGCCTTTTATAAGGGGAGATCCTGAGGCCCTGAAGGGAAGGAACCAAAAGGGATTTGACTCCTATTTGGAAAGGGGATCCTTGATTTGATATTGACTGACAGGAGGGTGTTGCTTGGGGTTCACCACATGTCACATGAGATCTTCACAAGACGAAATTTCCTTTAATTTGAGGATTCTCCTAATGCACATATGCTACTTCCATTTGCGAGTCCCCTTTGTTGACATGGCATGGGTGACGTCAAAGTTAGTTTGACATGTTGGACTACTTGCTCCATCATCAACTGATTATTCTATCAACAATAGTCTTTGGCTTGTAAATGCATGATTCTAGGTTCCTGACGCTCCTGAGCTTATTGCAGATTTGTAAGTACATCTTGGTTCCTTCATCGCAACCATAGTTATGGTGAACAACATGTTCTTACAACTAGCCCCCCTGGTTATTGGTAAGCATAAGCTTATCAATAATCATTTGCGTTGTGTGTTTTAAAAGGCAACAGGGAGGTGAGGATTTTGTTTTGAATTTAGGGGTTTTTGATAGAAATCAATTAAGGGTTCAAGGTCTTTTAGCATTGATGCGATTGGTCTATTTTTGCTTTGAGGTTTGATTCGTCTCTTGTGTTATTAGCCCCCTATTTCTTGGTCGAAAGGCTTCTGTCAAAAGTCATAGGTATTGTTACTTTTGGTTTTACAACCCCCCATGACTTTCGATATAGGGCTTCCTAGCAAGAAACGTGTATTTACTTGGGCAGGCTATGGGAGTTTTCCGTTTTTCAAAAAATGGTATATTGTGGTGATATACTTTGATTGGCGGGGTGATAGCCCCCTAGTGTTTTGGCAATGGGATGTCCGGTGTCAATGTTATTCTTAATGCCGTACTGGGTAGTTTAAGTGATTTCCCATGTTTTGTTTACACTATGTTTATGTAACTATTTTGTCGTGCATGGTGTTGAATTAACTGTTAATCTATGTTCTAAGAGGCCAACGCTGATTGGCTGGTGAGGTGTCTTGGATGATGTAGTGTGTAGCCTTCATTTAGGCTATGGGTACGAACATTCAGTGATTTCATTTGAATCATAACAATTTTAAGTCACTTCCTTTTTATTTGGGACACTAACAATTTTAAATTGCTTCCTTTTATGAGACACAGTTTCGGTTGCTACATAGTTTCCAAATTATCTTTAAAAGTGGGGTGAGGGTGGTCTACTCTCATTCGTTTTTGTCTGAAGTGTTGTGCTACCATTGTTGCGACTACTCTACAGCTCTATTCCCCTTTTGCTTGTTGTTTTTTCCATTTAGGGTTGTTGCATTTTGTATTGGATGGCACCACGCAAATAGTCTAAGGGTTCCCATGCACAGGAAGAGGTGACTAAGCAAGTTTGTCCATTCCTAGGCTTCGTCTGGGACATAGATACAACAAAGTTGCTCCCCAACTACGAGTCTGAAGGGTGGCTGGCTCAAGGAGGGGTTTTGGTCTCTGGTGCCTGTGGCGATGGGCAAAGGCAACACCTTTGATATTGTTGAAGGCAAGGAGTTTCTCTGTCTATATGGGCAACAGGTGTGCAAATTCAGCTACCGTTGCATAGAGCCTAAGATGGGCTTTGAAGGCTCCACCAACCATGTTTTGTGGGCATCATTTATCTTAGAGAATCCTATGTATTGCAGGCTACTGTGTGATGCAAGTTTGTTAAGTTTTATGGAATGCTTCATGGATCTTCAAGGGGTGACGGTGTGGATTTTGTGGAACCATTGTTGGGACATTGGTGTTGCCATACCTGCAGCTTTTTTGGTGCATTAGGAGAGTTTGGCGTTATGATAGAGGATGTTGTAGCTTTACTGGCACTACCAGTGTTTGGTACTATATCAACACGTCATCTCTAGCACCTGGAAAGTATTCCTAGGGAATTGATTCCAGTATATGAAGAATTGGTGGCCGAGATAGACCACTTTAAGTTGAAGATGGACTCTACTTCTGCTCAGGGCAAGATGACACTTACTGGGTGGATGAAGTACTGGTTCAAGTACCATGGCGGCAGTTGCTTCATGGTGCAAAAGATAAATAGTCAGTGTTACTTGGTTGCTTTTGTTCTTTACATGGCTTCTAGGTTCCTCTTCCCAGATGCTCCTAACTATGGATTGCGTACATGGGTCGTGACATTGGTCATTTCGGTTGCCGTGGGACATTAGCTGCCATTGGCATCAATGTTTCTCGGTTATTTGAACGAGCATATGGATGACATAGTCCATCAGATTATGGATCCTGGATGTGCATGTTGGTCTTCGTATGTCTTTTTCGCATTCTTCTTTATGTTTATCTCTGAGCATTTTGATTTGGACATTGTGCCCCGCAAGCTATCCCCTTTCAGTGTGCATGTGGCCACATTGGACGAAGTGGAGTCCTGGCAGGTCTCAATTGACGTCTGTAGGGGAAAGTGGTGGTTGAATGCGAAAAGGGGCAGGGGTTTTGGTGTTAATAGAATAGAATCCTGGCTTGCTAGTTTGGATGGATTCGTAGCCCGTCCTTATGTTCAGTGCGTGCCCTATTCCATGCAATTCTATGTGGGAATGAACGTTACCAAAGGGGGAGATTAGCAGGGCACCGTCAGTGTTGATAATCTTGTAGTTAGGGCTACTCGTCTAGTGTAATGGCTTAGGGTCCTCTGTTATTTGGATAGGCCAGGGGAGGTCCAGACTAATGTTTACTGTCCAGACCACCTCTTTTGGTATGATAGCTTGGGCTTGCAGTTTCTTATTCATGAATGTGAGGACATTTTTTGGTAGCGGCACAATGACCTTGCATTTTTTTGTGTTTCCTATTTTCCAGTAGCTGGATGTAAGTGCACTGAGGTTTGTTCCTCACTCTGTTGTGTAGGTGCATGGTGCTCACTTAGTCCCTCAGATCATAGTGAACACTAGATTGATACCGCATAGACGTTTGTGATCAGCCTACAGTCAACCTTCCCTCCGCGATGAAACCCCGATTCATCGCACACCTGTGATGAACCTTCAAGCGCTACGACATCCCGATTCCTTAAAGACCGAGCCCAGACATCACTTACATGTGTAATTTCGAAGGGGCAAACAGGACAAGGTGCCACATAGGACTAATAAGGCACCGTCTGCCAGATAGTGATGACATTAGTGCCACGTCAATAAGGTGAGGCGCCCAAAGGGAAATAGTACACGTGAGCCCCAGGGATCTCTGAGTGAAAGGAAAGCAAATCCTCTGAGAGATTCCCATGGGGACACATGGCAAAATCCCAGTAGTGCCCTTAATGATTAGTGGAAAATCCAATATTCCCTTTCCTAGTAGAAAACAAATACCTTTAACTCCTTCCTTTCAGGACCTCGGGATCTCTCCCACAAACAAAGATCCTCCTCATAATGAAACTCACTTAGTTATCAAGTATCCTCACCACTAATCCCTTAGCTCATCACACATTCCTCTTGTCCTAGTCTTCAGCTCGACCCTCTTATCCACGGTCTTTCTCTATCTTTCAAAGAGACCGCCTCCCTAACCTAGCCACCACCCTACCTACACGTTGTGACTATCTTTGTGCATTACATGGTGGCTTCCAACTATTCATGGTGGTGGAGCCTTGTCCTAGGCCTATAATGGCCCCTCCACTAGATCATGCTGAGGAACAGGGTGGGGTGGGTTTGTCTAGTGTGCAGGTTCCATTGCACTCGTCTACTTCAGTTTCCCCGCTTGACACGGAAGCGCAATTTTACAAAGGGAAGCGAGTCGTGGTCGAGGAAGGGGAGAGTAGCCATCCTCCCATCACCAATAATCCTCATTCGGTTAGGCAGACCCGTCCTACTTTGCTACCGGGGGCGACAAATGTGAATGTTCCGGTGGTGGGCACTCGACTTAGGGAATAGGGCTCAGTCCCTATAGCCAGCACGACGAGTGTTCCAGTCCAAGCTCCGGTTGACACACTCACAACAAGGATGACGTTCTGCCCCAGGCTGAAGTGGGGTCTGGTAAATAAACAGGGGATTCTTTGCCACCTGTTATAGCTGTAGCAGTCTCGGTTGTGAGTGGTCGTGTGAAGAAAATAGCCCCTCATGTCCGTGTGAAGGGAGCAGGGTCATCCACATTGGTAAGCGTACTAACAATTGACTCAGTTTGCTATTCAAATTTTATTTTCTTTTTTGTCGGGACTAAATGTACATTTTTGTAGTCATTTATTTTGAAATAGGCAAGGGTAAGAGATGGTTTTTGCGAGCCTGTCGCCATGTAAGCGCCAACTGACGGTGCTATGAATGAAGAGGTATGGATAGCTGTATGGAGGGGTCAATCTTTTCTTATAGTATTGTTTTGTTTGAATTCGTGATGGCACACTCATTTTTTCTGTAGGGAATTCTAGTGTCATCCCGGCTAGTATGCCTATGACACCTATCATCAAGCGCTTGATGGAAGACTTAAAGTCTCTTCGCCCGGTGGTTGGAGAGGAGGAGTCACCAAGGGAGGTGCTAGTGATGTGGGCGTTCCAGTCGTCACTTCAGATGTTCGTCAGGGGAGTAATGCTTGTGATGGGGATGGCATGCCTACTGATGCTGATGTAATCATTGAGGCTCCTGTCACAGTATTAGGGCAGCCCCCCACAGGTCTTGTAGCAGGTGAAAGCGCGGATGCGCTTGTTGTAGGCGAGTCAGGGCATGAGCGGGAGCCTTCTCCCGCTGAGCATGTGACATCGACTATCAATGAGGATATCTTAGGTGTTCAGCTCTCATCATCAGACATTCAAGTAAAGTGCCTTGATCATCCTGAATTTATACCCGAGATAGTACGAGTGGAGGTTGACGAGCTGGATTCGTAAGCTGGTGATTGGACCTTACAACTGTGCTTAAGATAATGTGCCAAGAGCTGAAAGATTGTTATGAGAGAGAAGATATGGTGCCTATTGGGTTTGTAGTGTCCGACCCCATCGTAGTTCAAGGAGTTTGCAGATGGGAGCAATTAGTCGTGTTCCACAGCGTTCCCGGCACGATGCCATTTGTTATTAAAAAGGGGTGGTTGCCTTCTGTTGAGTTTCTTCCTGTGGTTATCAGTGCCTCTTTCAACATGGTGGCGGGTTTATTGAACTCCATTATGTTACAATAAGTGGACAAACAATCATGGTCTCTGTTTGCCTGGTGGTTCAAGACATATGTCTCATTTGCTTTGATAGGCTTTAAGATGGAGCAAATCAAAGAGTGAGTGGTTCGTATGGCTCACGTGTTCTGGAAGACCGCCAATATGGAATCAAATCCAATTTCTTCCAAGGGCCTAGATGAAATTCGTAGGCGATTGAAGCTTGTGGACGCCTGTATCTCGAAGACAAAGGAGAAGATAGCTACTCTTCTCGACGAAGCCACTCGCCAACAGAAGGTGTTGTCGTAGTTACGAAAAGAGCACGAAGAAATTGTCACCATTCAACAACCAAGGGCATGTTTAAAGAAAATCACTGAAATGCAAAATTAGTGGTTTAGTGAGTAAGAATTTTGTATTTTATAGTTGACTGTTGTTTTGTAAATATTTAACTGTTGATCTCATTCAATGAAAGCGACTTTTTCTTATGTGCACTATTATTCCATTTTTGTCATTTTGTGTTGTATCTATGACCATCGGCTAGGTTTACCTTGTCATGATCCTGAGGTGAGATCGATATGTTTGGGTGATGTTTATTGAGTGAAAGAGTGGTCTTAATCCCGAGTTATGACTTAACCCCCTATTGGTCAAGTCGTGACCAGTGTGATATCATCTTTTACATTTGATTATATGTTTATGATATAGATGTGGTGGCTTACTAGTGTATTGGACTGAATACACAAGCTTCATAGGTAGGGCACCATGCTCGGTGCTACTGGGTTTTGACAGATAGGGTAGTAAGGGGTTGCGCTTGGGATTTCCAAGTTTCCCTAGATCCACCAAGATAACTTGAAATTGCATCCGGGGCTATCGGGGCTTTCCTAGGGATGCCATGGAATATGGGATTACACTTAGGGATGCCAATGTCTTCTTGGGGTTTTCAAGGAATATGAGATTGCCCTTGGGGCTACCAAGGCCTTCCTGGGGCTGCCAAGGAACATGTAACTGCACTTGGGGTTGCTAGGGTCTTCCTAGGATTGACAGGGAACATATAAACACGCCAAGGCTTGCCAGGGAACATATAATTGCACATGGGATTGCCAAGGCCTTCCTAGGGTTGCTAGGGGATGTGTAATCACGCCTAGGGTTGCCAGGAGATATGTAATCGTGCCTGGGGTTGCCAGGGGATATGTAATTGTGCCTGAAGTTGCCAGGAACGTGTAATCACGTCTAGGGATGATAGGGCCTTCTTGGGGTTTCCAGGGGATATGTAATCGTGCTTGGGATTACTAGTGAAATCACGTAAGTAGCACACAAGAATTAAATAATTGCTAAAGGAAACATAACATGCACATATTTCTGAAACTAAAAGGGAATCTTATTAACATATACATATCAAATACAAATATCATTGTCATTCATTATACAATTTCTACCAGTGTCCATTCATTGTCTCGTCTTGTTCATTTATGTTTATATCCCACAACATAGAATATCCAGTCGTGTGTGCTTCTTTGACAATGTACGTAGAGATGTAAATCGAGCCATTCTGCCCATGGCCCGACACCATGGAACACAGGCCATGCCAAGCCTAGCACAATGGTCCACGCCATGTTGGGCCTGGGGTTTGAAGTCCACAGGTTGGCACAACATGACACGGCCCGCTCGACTTGCTTGAGAACTAGCTGTTGAGGACCCTCAAACAGCTAGTTTTAGCTTTTTTGGGGTGTTCTTACAAAAATACCACTAATAGTTATAAACAGCCATATAGGGGGTGTTTTATGTATTTTGGTTTTGGGGGGACAAAAAATGACACAAATGCCCTCCAATAGCTATATAACAACTACTTTAGATGGGCATTTTATGTAAAGTGAAAAATAACTTTACAATGACCAAAATATCCCTCTCAACAACTAAAAAAACTAGTTTTTAGGGTATTTTGGGTAATCAAATTATTTTCAATTACTATAAATAGCCCTATCCTCCACCATTCTCATCATACCAATTCAGTAATTCTCTTAATCTCTTGTATAGTTCTCATACTCTCTCAAGTTTCAATCCCCCAATTTCTCAAATTCTCAATATCTCATGCATTCTCTGAACTTTGATTGATTGGTTTTCTCCAATTCTCAACTTTATTGAAGTTTCAACAAGAAGAAGGCTTGCTCAGTCAACTCAAGTATCTTAAGTTAGCAATTTGGGAGGCTTGGACTCTTGGAGTTGAAAGGCTTCAACTATTGAAATCAAATTGGGATTCCGAACCGACAATTCGAATAAATCCAATTAAATTCATTTTTATTTTTTTTAAATTAAAAAAATGGTCGGCTCCCCCCAAAACCAATTCCCTAACATGTTCAATTTCGACGATATTCAGTCGTAGCATGATAGTCTTAGCATCGATATGGATGCTATTGATATTGATGGAACTTCTACCCCTAGTACTGATACTATGGGAAAGAAAAAGAGGGCCTCTAAGTTGATTATCTCGGTTTGGAAAATATTTAAAGTAGAAGAGGTTGATGGGAAGGGAAAAAGAGCTATTTTCCTAAAATGTAGAAAAGAATTTAGCTATTGTATCAAGGGTCGTACTGGCCATTTGGGCAGGCATTTGCTCACCCATGAAGAAGAAGAAGAAGAAGAAGGAACAGAAACAACACAAATACAAATTGGGTGCGGGGGTACATTTAAATATTCTCAAGAAAAAATGAGGCAAGAATTAGCAAAATACATTATACATGCTGAACAACCATTTTTGTTAGCTGAAAATACTAAACTTGAAAAATGGTTACGTAATTCTATAAATCTACAATTTTAAAAAGTTTCTAGGAATACTATTAGATTAGATGCCTTAAAAAATTTATTCGTATAAACAAAATTTAATTTATATGTTATCAAATCTAAATTTTAAAGTTGCAATTACTTTTGATGTTTAGACTTCTAAATATAACATCAGTTATAATTGTGCTATGAGTCATTTTATTGATGAAAATTGGCTTTTAAATAAAAGAATTTTAAGTTTTACTTGGTTTGAATGGCCACAGACTGGCCCAACTATTGTTGCAAGCATTTTAAATACTTTACATGCTTATGGAATTAACAATAAATTATTTTCTATTAGTTTCAATAATACTTGTCATAATGATTTAGCAATAAATATTTTTAAATCTCAATTAAAACCATGTTTAAATGGTAAATTATTTCATATCAGATGTCCATGTCACATATTAAATTTATGTATTTAGGATGCTTTAAATACTATTTCTAATCATATTTCTAAAATTAGAAATTGTATTATATATATTAAAAGTTATGGGTCAAGAAAACAAGAATTTAGATATTTATGTCAAAATTATGGTTTAAAATATAAACATTGTATATTAGAAGTTAAACATAAATGTAATTCTACTTATGCTATGCTAGAAAGTTGTATTTCTTACAAACAAATCCTTAATAATTTTTTAAAATATTTTTATGATGCAACTAATGAATTATTGGGTATTTACTATCTAATTAGTTCTAATTTAACTTATTAATTAATGAAGATTAGCGATTGTTTTGCAAAATATAGAAATAATCCACAATTTAAAAGTATTGTTAAAATAATGGAAAATAAATTTAAAAACTATTTGTAGAACATTTCTCCTATTTATCATCTGAAATGTATAATTTATATGAATCTGAAGTAATATGAAATACTTCTACAAGTTGTACAACTGCATCTTCCACTTCTGAACTTGAGCCCAATAGTAGAAGAGAAAAACTTTTTTATCTAATAAGTAGAAGGTAGAAATCTGCTACATCAACAACATGTTCTTTTATTGAACTTAATTTTTATTTACAAGCAAATTTTTCTACTTTAGGTGAGGGAACAAATAATTTTGATATTTTAGCCTGGTGGAGTGAACATTCAAAAAATTATCCAATTCTTGTCGGCAATGCACGTGATCTACTAAACCCTCTAGTGTCTATAATTCCACTGGAGTCTTGTTTTATAGTGCAGGTACTAGGGTGTTGGACAACAAGAAAAACTATATGAATGATGAAAGTCTAGAGATGTGCATCTACTTTAAAGATTGGTTAGATGCTGAAGACAGATTACAAGACAAAAGAGGGCATGACACTACACCCGATATTTCACATGAAGCAGATGATGAAAGTCATGAACAACAGGAGAAAATTAGAAAATGATGAAATCAATATTTTTTGTTTACTCACTCAATAGTTGTACATCATTTTTTCAAATTATTGTAAATTTTGTTTAAATTTTCCTTAATTTATTTGTATTTTTAACAATGTAATTTTGTATTTTCAATTTGTAACTATTTTGTGTTTTCATATTTTATTAATTTATTCCATTTTCCAATTTTCATATTTCATTCATCCAAGTATCCAACGATTGTATGCTTTGTAATTTTTATCATTCAAATTTAAATGAAATAAAATTCCTATTTTTCTTCCAATTTGTTATTCCATTCTTTTTTGGTTAAGTATTTTTTTTTCATTTTTTTGTTAGATTTTCTCATTTCATACTTAGCAAAGAAATAAAATAATGTCAAAAAACAAAAAAAAAGTAAAAAACTAGTTTGGCCCGATTCGGCCCACACCCAAGGCCCAAGCTGTGGCCCAGCCTGCACGACACGAGCCACATTTTGCACGGCTCACTTACCCGATACAATCCGTTTCACACCTCTAAATGTACGGTCCGACCCACTTAGGTGTGAATTTTCCAGTTGATTTCCCTTGTCGCACATGTAGCATTGTCTTCAGCACCTTATCCCCTTTGAATTTGCGAGGCTTCACCAGTTTGTTGAAGTTAGAGGCCATGAGTTGTTTGTATTTTATTTGTTTTTGCAGTGATTTCTCCCTGACTTCTTCTTTGCATTCTAGTTTGTCACTAAGCAGTTGGTTCATGTCCTCTGTCTGAAAACACTTTCCCATTGTATAAGCTGTTCTAGCAAACATCGTTTGTATTTCTATTGGCAAGACTACTTCTTGGTTAGAGACTAAGGAATATGGAGTTGCTTGTGTGCTCTTCATAATCATTGTTGGATAGGCCTAGAGTGTCTCAAATAACTTCTCGGCCCAGTCCCTTTGATTTTCGACCACCACCTTGCTTAACATCTTCAACAAATTATTGTTAGTTTCCTTTGCCTGCCCATTCCCTTGCGGGTAGTAAGTTGTCGATGCCCCCAAAGGCGCTCCATACTACCCCAGTAAATCTCAGACTTCTTGATTTTTGATAGATAATCCATTGTCCAAAAGTATCCTTATTAGGATGCCAAATTGGTGGACTATGTGTTGTCTTAAGAAATTTTCTATGCAAATCCTCCTCAATGGTATGGTCTCCGCCCATTTTGTGAAATAATCCATTGCCACAACGATGAAGCA